GTGCCTAGTCGACGTGGTTGGATCTTCTCGCACACTTTCACTCACTGCGGCTGTTTTCACGAGCACGAGCTGGATGAGCATGTTGGTATGGTCTACGACCTTCAGCTGAACCAGTTTCCTCAAAACGATTAACAATCTAACGAATTCCAGGCTCTGTGGGGCATCCATGTCGGCCAAAACTAGTGCGAAGTTTGCGAAAAGTATTTTTTATATTTCGACCGTTTTCGTAATAAGTGTGGATAACCAAAATGCGTTGTTGTGTTGTAAACGAATCGATGATTATAAATGGCATACCTTTGACAGTTCAGTTATGCATGACTTTTGACTCAAATGGTAACACATAAACTTATAGGTAAAAAAAAGTAATAGATGGCGCACCCAGTACATTGCTAGTAGTGAAAAGCATTCCCGTTTCAGAGGGCCATCATTCGTCTTGCATATTATTGCTCTCGATGCCATTCGCCTCAGGCTATAGGAGTGCTCAACAGATAACGATTAACTTCACAACAAGTATGTAATGTGATATTACTAATCGAAGATTCTCTGTTATAAACAATCGAGGCAAAAACTCTCATGAAAAGGTGTCTGATCCCAGCAATATTAAGTACCTGTTAGATGTAATATCATATCGTACTGAAAGAGAAATGAGCTATTCATTTTTCACAGTCTGGGACGTAGAACTGTTTTACGATATTCTTAAGCGAGGGAGCCAGGTTTCGGTTTCATTCTAGTCTTTCGAACAGACTTGACCCATTCTTTCGATTTATTATACAATTACGTAGTTAACTTTTTACTAACAAAGCCTAATTTGTCGTTTGAGCAGCTGCTACTGAGACAGTTGACTCCACGCTATGTTAACAAAAAATCATGTGAGTTTGCTCCTGGAAAAATATGTCAGGTAGGTTTTAACTTTTAGCTATGTACAAGAAAAATCCAATGAACGGTGCTTTTCAATTATCAAAATATATTGATTCCGCCTCTTTTGGTGTTTTAGTTATTCATCTTATTTATTGCAAACTCTTATTTCTATCAATTTAAGTGGAACAAAATTCACTCAAAATTTTTAAACGTTTCCAACTCGACTTTATTGACACTATCAAATAATGCTTAGAATTGTATAAAAGATGTTTTGGAAACTCAAATGCCTGTGCCGGCTTCATTTTTTTCCCTCATATCTTTGAGTTTTATCAAGTGCATGTGGCATCCTGTAAAATCTAATTCTCTGGATTTATCATTATTTCTCCGAAAAAATATATAATATAACAATATAGTTTTTTAGCGATTTTTTCTAACAACTAATGTATAACATGAGCTCTGCTTAAAAAATCAACGGAAATTAGTATGGAAATTCGCTGGGTTTGACTTTCTAGACCAATTTGAAATTAAGGTAAAAATCCACAAAAGTAGTATGCTCCATCCGGATTTTACATTTTATTGTGAGATGTATGTACATGTGCATTATGTAACTAATCAATGTAGTATGATGAAAGCATGTAAACTATGCTGAAAAACCTGCAAATTAGGTTTTTATACATTTTCATCGAAATTTTGTGTTGGTATGATAAGTCAAATTTGCTGCATTCGCAAACTAAATTCAATTTCGCTTTAAAGCGGATTTCATGTTGTTGTGCACCAGTTAGTGGAATTAAATCATCAAAAAAATATCAAAATAAGTGAATTTATTTTACCTCTCACTTCATTAATTGTTATTTTTCCTGCGAAGTGGTAATAAATTCAGGGTATGGGTTACACGGCGTTGCAATTGGTGAGATGGAAAAAATAAAAAAAGAAATGCAAGTCGGGAATTTTGTGTTGACAAAACATCTTCAGTTTAATGGTAATCTCCATTTATTTTATGGAATCAAGTTGTCAACGATAGAAATGAGGTATTTGAAAAAATAGAAGTGATTTACTAAAAAAAACAAAAAAGATGAAATCAATCTATTTTGCTCACTGATAAGCGCCATTTGATGGCCTTTGTGTACTTAGTCAAACTCTCCAATATTCAGCTCAAAATATACTGATTTTTACAAAATAGAGAAAATTAAAAAAAATGGTTTTCAATAGCGCTTGAGATGTGTGGCATTAAAGGTTTGGCATGTTTAGATAAAACGAGTATCCGTAAAAAAATGAATTTAGAACTTGTTTATTTTCAGATATAAAAAGGTCTCGGTTCATACTAGCTAGCGTTTCACTATGTCCATTTAAAGTCGGATCACGCTGTATACTTCCTCATACTAATTTCAGAGAATACACTTGTTGAACACAAGGCTATTCCACAGTAACCCCTCGACATCACAGACCCCTTACAGAGGCGGACAATATGAGAAATTTTTAACGAGACTCCCTAATTTTATGTATTAAGCTCATCCAACTTTTCTAATAACGGATGCTTTAATGAGGGTAGGAAAATAACGTAATGTATGCTATTCATAAAAGTAACTTCACTGGAATGAGAAAGTTCAGCGATTAATCTGAAAATACGACATAAATATCTTCCTTAACTGCCCTATTTTGCTAAAGCGCCATATTTTTGCTATTATATTTACATATAAAGAGGAATCTCCATAAATATATGCGGCTTCGATAATTCATCCGACATGGCTCTTTCCCATTATAATTTTATTTATGCTTATTGAAAAATAGGTGTTTACTAGACAGCTGCTATTAGATGAAAACATGGCTCATACATTTGCTCAAGAGCTTAAATAATAACGAAAATGCCAAAGCGAGCTTTAAAGGCGAATATTCTATTGTTTACGACCGAGGCGGAAGTTTTATTTTTCAGGTTGCTGTTTTCTTACTTGTATTAATACTGATATGTCATAATAGAAAAGGATGGGCATAGAAACACGAAAAGTCCCTCGTTATTGTATGGTCCAACGAATTCAAATATATGAGTAGATGAAAATTGCATAGTTTAGTGCATAACTTTTACTCATTTTTCTAACAATGCCTACCAAAGTGACAACGTTGTACCAATATAATAATGTTTATCGGAGGAAACATGCAACTTCATTAGGTTTGCATTTATGTGAGAACTCGCCTAACACTACAATTATCTGCAAACACCCGCATTTTGAAAAAAATACGCACTTACTGATAGAACTGTGAAATAATTGACTTATGTCACTATACACTATGAGAATTAAGAGACAAGCAAATCCTTGACTCGGTCCTTCTACCTAGTCTGGATTCACGGACATTTTGCTTGTCTTGATGGCCTTGACGCATGAGAGTGGCAGGGCAATTATCAAATCTTTTAAAGAAAGAAGGTGGGTTCGATATTGAAGCCTCTTTATTGCGATACCTTCTCATTTTCGTAATTATGTTTGTTGGAAATACTTAATAGTAAATTATATGTTTAGGTGATATAAGATTGTAAGGAACGCTCAGCCTTCTTTAACATTTAATATTATTTGTCGGGATCAGCTGAAACGGCCTTATACAAATACAATGACTGACCAGTATCACACTTCTATATGGAGGAAGATGCAACCAACGAAGTTATGTGAAATGTAAAAATAAAAGTCATTCTAATGGAGGTTGTAAGACCTACACAAGCCAGTCCATACTCTCCATCAGATTGGGTATTACGGTGTTTGGGTGGAAATTGAAAATGAGTTAAATTCACAAAACCACCGTCACTTTTACCACCTTGCCAGTCAAATTACATCTCCGTATATAAATGTGATGCTACAGTATATTCGATTCTCACTTAAACCGCGCCAAAACAAGCAACACCGCGAGACGTTCAAATTCACGCGTTCCTATTGGCCAGCTGACGATAATTGTCTTTGCAGTTTTATGTTTCATCAATCAACTTAAACATATATAGTTTAGTTCGTACATTTAAAATTATTGACAAACACCTTCTAGGCGAGTTAAAATGTGTGCAATATACGGAGGTTTCACAACATGCGACTAAACTTGAAGAGGTAATTCTTTGGATCATTGTCTTTTGGCGATAAGTTTTGTTTCGAACCTACGGAACCCTGAATAATACTACTGGAATAATTCTGGAACAAAAGTTAATACTGAGAAAGCTTCATATTTTATTTGAAAAACTGATTTCTAGTTTGATTTTGATAGAGTGAACCGTTTATGAGAAAAACAGCAGTGTTTGGTTGATTATGTTACCGGCACCGATATACTCGTTCGGCTATTTTGATTACAAATTGGTGGTAAGCGAAAGAGACGGAATACAAATTTTCACTTTACCAGGTCGTAGTTCAACTTCTTGGGAGATGACTGCATTGCAAATTGTTATAACAGTATTGAAAATGAGTCTGTTTACCAAAAGCGGCTCATTTTGATAAAATCATCTTTTCAGATACAAGATGAAGCATTCCAAAAATATTTGTTTCGATTTATTATCATATGTTATATGAAAAATAGCAGTATTGCATTACGGCAAGTCCGACCCTAGCAAAATTTATTAGTAAATCGTTTTTTATGGACGCTGTCATATGATGCGGGAACTAGTTACTATACTATCAAAATTTCCAGAGTTATTTAGAATGAAAATACCTCTTCGTTGCGATGTTGTCTCTCTATCTCTGAAAAAAAGCGGTTTTTCTAAAATGGTAAAAAACAAAATAGCCAAAGAATCATGTTCCCGTGTTTTGGAAACATTATGAAAATAGCAAACCTTTTGAGTCGCCTGATCCAGAAATATGAAAAACTATTAATGCAACGACTGCGGCATAACAGCTCACGGTTTATTATAAATATTAGTGTAGCCGAACACGTGGATATTTCAAAATGTGCATAATAAACAACAGCAACACATTAGCAGAACTTTGGCCCTTAACTACGCTGTACTTCTTACTTAGGCTCATTCCAAAATGCGAGTCCCCGTATGGAGATCTTGATCGATGTGAATAGCAAAGACCAATATCTAATGAACAATCGCCCTAAACTCCGTCTTGTATCCAAACCCTAATCTCCGAAAGTTATAACGACCGAAGTTGCATGCTGTATGACGTTGTTCGTTGCAGGTGGTGGAAGCGCCTTCATCTTCCTCCGTACCAACTGGCAATGTCATCACCAAAGTGGAGGTTATCGAGGGAAACAAGAAACAAGATGGGGTAAGTGACATTCCTATTATGTGAGTGAAACTTGTTTCTGCACTTTGATAGTCTTATAAAAGACATCAGGTATTCATTACTCGACAGAACAAATACACCGCTTCAGTTTTTGGATGAAAGAAATAATTACGTTTTCAATTTTTTCCCCATTTTCCTAACATCATTATTATTTTTGATGCTGTAATGATAACAACACTTTAAGCAAGTGGCTAGTACGTGGTTTTTTTTACAACACGGCTACAACTATATTCATCTTAAAAACCCCCTAGGCATATTGGTGTTTAGCATATTTTTCAAAATTTCATTAAAGCCCAAACGGTAGGGAAAGGTCTAATAGGCTTCCACCGTTTTCCATATGTGTGAATTGAACATTTTTCTATGATTAAAATTTTTACAGTCGCTTCTGTCTCGTATACATTGAACTCAAGCAGTCAGACAAATTTGATTTGGTCTGTTTTGTGTTGCTAAATCATCAAATACTCGTAAGGAGCAACTTCTTGGAAAATCCGGTTTTTCTCGTCTATCTCTAAGTGTGGAACTTAAGGGTCATCTTTTTAATTACCTAAATGCGCAAGCCCTATTTAAACGGCATCGTATTCTGACCGATTTTCACTGCCAGTAAATAATAAATTCATTACAATTTTTGTCTTGTTCCAGCAGTCAAACACCATCCACCAGGTAGTTCACGTAAAATCCGATGACTCCGACCAACTCACCCCCGTAGGCAACTTCATAGGCACCGATTCCGGAGAAGACCTCCTGTCCAAGCAACCTTCCGAGCTCGTGGAAGAAACTGTACGAGGTCCAGGCGTGAAGCCGAGCTCAAAGTTCATCCTTAGGCATCGACCTAGCGCAGATGCAGGTGGGAAGAAAGCGGGAAAGAAGACCAGGGCGCACCCTACCGGTTTGGTGACAAAGTTAGGAGGTACGATTGTGCGGGACGGAGTGACAGCCGTCGTTGAAACTAGTGTTATAGGAACGTACATTTCAGGTAATTTTTAGAAGATTTTGAGTATATCCAAGAGGTGAATGGTATGGGAAATGGTGGATTTCTGGTGAACGGTGTATTGGTCCAAGCCTCCTTGGTGTATTTGATCCTACACAATCTGTATATACTGGAAGGTTTGGGGTAAGAAGACGACTCTGGAAACATTTCTATGGCAGCCGTGATCCTGGCTACTCTGTTTGCATTTGCTGAATAATATACTACATTCTTGTTCCTCACAATTCTTTCTGACTTCTTTACGGCCTGCACTACAAATATCAGCATGAAAAAATGAACATTCCAAAGTCAGCTATAGTCGCCAGCAAGAAAATAATCTCTCATCCCTCAGTATCCACTAACGGCGTATCAAAGAAGGTGGGGTAAAAGGAGACAACCATTGGGCTCTAACATAGCAGAAGCACTAGGAATACATAGCAACGAACTATGAAGAATGGTGCGATTTTTTTGGTTACCAGATATTTAGACTCCACCTGCAAAAAGTAGGGTTAAACGTACGAGCCATATGCAGGAGATAAGGAGAAACTGAAGAAGCTACTAAGCATATTACATTTCTGCTCTAACTGCCAAGGCATCACGTACCTGTTGAATCAAAACGGAACACCTAAAATCTGTAATTAGAGCTGTCAAGGAACTAACCTGAAGCATCTTCAAAATTACAGTTCCCTGAAAGAATGGAAAAATTTACAGGTTATATTATCGTTAACCTCTATTGTGTATTGTAGCATTGAAATAGCGAAAGAGGAATAGTATAGTGTCTACCTTCCATGTTTCTTTCATACTTTATTACCTTTATGACAGCTCTTCTAAATGAAGCTAATAATACTAATAGGTGCACCACCTTCAGATTATAACAACCCCGTCGTATCTCTACCGAGATGAAAACACGAACATGAATAAAACAAGCTAAACATATTTTTCACTGCAGCTCCTGAAATATTTAAAAGCCTCCCTTTGGTTCCTTTTCCCTGCTCAATTTCATTCCCGAGTTAATTAGTTGAAATGGAAGAAAATTCTTTCAAGGGAGTTATAACTAGAGATAAAAGCTATAATACGGATTGTCAGCCTTTTTTTTTTGAAAAAAAACTATTGGAAGGCTAATAATATTGTTTTAGATTTTAAGGTTTGTGTTTAGAACCGGATACATATTATTTTGTTATAACTCATCGGGTGCTAAAAATATTACAAGAAATGACCTAGGATTCTATTTCCACGAAACGCTCATCACATACGTACGAGTATGTAGTGCTTCCAAAAAAAAATATACTGTGACTGCTGTCAAACTGACACGATACCCCATGGCTACTGTTATTCAGCTTCAAGTTCTGCACTGCTCGACCGCTTTAAGTTGGCTGAACGCTGCCAATGCATTGATTACTGTATTTTCACCTATGGCAATTGAAAATTTCGGAGTGACAAATGGGAACCATCCTAGAAGATTTTATCAAGTGGTAATTCATATTGAAGCTTTTCATGAGTACTGTGTAACTCTAATATTTAAAATCGTTATCTTTAAAAACAGAGAGTATGTGTAATAAAATAAGCAACGTTCCATTTAAAAAATTGTAGAAATCCTAACCCTTCCGAAATAAGTTTAATATGACCTTCTGATGATTAGTTGTTGAGTTATAAGCGATTCAATGCACAAAAGCTTAACTTTAAGAGCCTGCCAGTTGAAAGATCATAACATTTATGGTTCAAGGTTATAAAAAACGGATATCGGATTTGAAAATGGATTACCATGTGACCACCGACTCCTTTTCAGAAAAATGTCCAGTCACAATTTTGAAATTGTTAACTGCCACGCTTACCTTGAAATATAGTAATCATGCATAATTTTTATCACTCTGAAGTTAACTGGATCCATTTAAAATACACTTGCGGGGAGGTTGAGGTTGGTTACTGTCCTCCACAGACCAATTGACGAGGAGGTATTGTAATGGCCAAGATATTTAATTAAAATCGAGGCTTATGTTTGTTGGTTGTTACATCACGTTCGCCATCCAAATACCGTTGCTCGTCATTTACGTAGATCTATCGGTCTGTATGACTGTCGTCTGTCATTCTCAAGCTTCATTTTAATATTAATTTTTGAGTCTGACAATTACTGAGCGTAGCTTAAATTTTTTTGGAGGTGTAAGAATAGTAAGAAAGCTCCAACCAAATATTCGAAGACAATTTAAGAAGGCATCGTCCACGTTTTTATCGCTGACATAGAGTATAGGTTTACCCAACATTTTGAATAGATTTCTTACGAATGAGTGGGAGATACAGAGTCAGCCTACGGTACTGCATTTTTTCTGTGCTGATGCTAATCCGTTCAAATATGTTATTTGTTGTGTTGTACCTTTCGTGAAGAACTTTTGTAAAGAGTAAGTGTATATGAATTTGTATAGATTTAGATTTTTTCAGCATACGAGAATAATCTGTATTTTGATGCATGTTTTGGTATTTGTACATGTACAGCTATTCCTAGTTTTGTAAATAGCGTTACCCCTAGAAGCGGTATCGTTATGCATTTCCCACCAGAAAAGGAAAACACAATTTATAAGTAGTTCTTTCGCCGTGTAACCTGATGTATGTTAATTTCGTAGGTCAGTGATGATGACTCCATTAAAACTGGTCTGTTCTAAACACGAAGAAAATGAAAACACAACAGCAATCGCGGTACGCCAGAGCGCAGTCTGGAATGCAGAATTAAATGGAGTAGAGCAGTGGCGTAATTAAGAAAGTTCCGATTTGAGTTTAGGGTGTACCGTGGGGTTACAATTTTTAACCAACCAAAGCAAGTGTCATTTTTCTAGTTTCGTTGCTCGTGGAAGGCATGCAAAAATATCGCTGTTCTGTTAGAGGTAGCCGAATTTTATTACTTAGAAAGTCGCATTATGACCGTTCAAATTGCAAAATTCGCAATAGGTACTTTAGCCCACGCTACGTAAATACCACCTATGTCCAGTTTAACCAGTATTTCGCTAGCATAGTTTCTGGATTGCAGGCTCTCGAGATAGTATATGGAATATACGTTTGGAACAAGTTGTCATAGGGGAAATACGACCGAATATAAAAACCGCATTCATTTGTTTGTCTGCCCGACAAGAAGTACGAGAGATACGCAAAACGCAATCTGACAAGAAAACTTGCAATCTCACATAAGGAGAGATCTGAGTCTTAGATACGTAATAACGGTGCGGGTAAACCTGGGAAATACGGTTTTTGTTTAGACGGTTTGATCTTGTAGCTTAAGTCTATTCCGTAAAAGTTGTGTATACGAACGTATTGTGTACTTGAGACACAAAAATGTTTTCGGAAAAGACAAGAAATCAACTAGCCCTGACTCCGTCACTGCCCTTACATGAACTCTTTGGCCTAACAAAATATTTGTGAGTAAAGTCAGCGAGGGGAAACTGCACGTGCTGTAACAAAAGGTAAAACAAAAGCGCTGCCACTCGCAGTAATAAAGCCGTGTTTATCGAATTGCGTGCTATGTTGCGTTGCATTTTAGCGTTACCTCTGCAGAAAGAGCTGACATCCAGAAAATACATTTTTTCTGGAAATGTTTATATGGTTGTTATCGTGTAACAACAAAGAACGCATATACGGATTTTGTCATTTTTCATATTTTCAACTCCTACGGAAGAATCGGCAATAGTCTATGCCGCTGGGCATAATAACGGATATAGTCCGATTATATAAGCTTTGCAAGTTTATTTGGGAAACGCCTCCAATGCGAGTAGCCAATTTCGTCAAGGTGGCTCACGCTTATGGTCCGGTGACAAGCACCTCGGATGAAACAAACCTAAAATTGTAATTTCACTGAATTATATCCGTTATTCCGAACAATCGACTACTATCTTTCGATATAACCGCCAAATTGACTTGCGAAGTTAGTTTTATCTGCCAAATTCACGAAATCAGCTATATCGGTCTATATTCGTTAACATCGCCGATGGCATCAGCTACTGCTGTCCAATACCTTACCAAATAAACTTGAAAACTCAGGTTCACCAGAATGTAACCATTAACCCTCTAAAAACATCGAATTTTATCCTCTGGTGGGGGTGGGGGATCATTTGCCAAGTATGTTTCCGAAACTAATTTCACAAAACTACATCCGAGTATATACTCGTATGTTAGTCTGCCAGAGGACATCGACTACTTCAGTTCCAAGCATTTGGCAAATAAACTTGCAAAGTTAATTAATTCAACCAGGCTGTTTCTGTTGATCCCCCGACCACTTCTATTATTGCTGATTAATGCTTCTGCCAAAAAAATTACACCGAGTTTTATCGGTTGGTCCGCTAGAGGACATCGACTAATCCTTTCAGAGGCATTTGCCAAGCAAACTTGCGAAGTTACTTTCTGTTATTTCCACCTGAGGCGTCGATTATCTCATTCGAAGCATTTGCTAAGAAAGTCCGACGAGTGAATTTTACTGAACCATATCTGTTAATCCGCCTGACGCGATGGCATCCACCACAGCCTGTAGAGGTATTTGCCAAACGAACTTACCGGACTATATGCTTCCTAACATGAATGATGAAGATAAAAAGCACAATGATAATTATTATGGTCAATTACTCAGAACGCAAACAAATGATATTGAGGTAAGACGTCATTATCCTTGAAGCTGAAGGTCGTTGATGCCGGAATCAAAGGAGGTCAGAAACCAAAGTCCCTTTTATTGACTTTAAGGATTAGAGAATAGTAAAACTGGAACGAACTGTATATAGTATGGCAACCTATCAGATATGACTTTTCCATCGGTGATGTTGTTTTTTCCGAGGAAGATTTGCTCATGGGCACACTTTAGTAGAATCTATTGCAAGCTGCTAATCAACTAGCTACCCTAATTCATCTATGTTGTCCACCAGATAGTGTTGTCCATTTCTATAATATCATTTCGTATGCAACTGACGCTGAAGACTGACATCACTTCTCTCGGAACTGAAAGTGAATGATCCTTGGACCAAAATGTAATCCTCCTCAAGTTCTAGGATCACTGACCATGACATTCATGTCATTGAAGTAAAAAAATGTCCAAGACGCTGGATGTCATTGACTTAAAAATCATTGGTCATCGATCCAACAAATGAAGTACCATCAACTTCAGCGTCAAAGAATTTAAGATTTCGGTTGGGAAGCCGAACCTAATTTGGAACTTTGATTAACCCTGAAGTCAAGGTTCGACGTCCATCAAGTTAAATTTAAACGTCCTGAAATAAACGGTCGTTGATTGACTTCTGAAATGTAGGAAAGTCATTTTTTATCTCATAAAAAAACAAAACATGAGGCCTGGTCAACTTTCAAAGACGGTCTCTCATAGATTAGTGCTGAAACAAAATATCAAGCGATGCTTTATAAATAAAATAAATATGCTCTGATTACGTCCGTACGACCAAAGACCACGGACAGCTGTTTTGTGCTTTTTGGCTACTCCTCAGCATGACTTGGGTCTCTTGGTCAGCGAACAAAAGCATAATAGTGACTATACACTATCGAAACGATGCTTTATTATCCCTTTGATAGTGACAACGACATCGTTGCGCTATCTGTGGCCCTGTCACTCCTCAAACGTCAATATGGTGTTGCACAAGTAATTGAATGTTTACGGGAAATCTTGGAAGTTAAATCAAGTGTAATGTTGAGTGTGTATATTGATGAGGTGGGAAGCAAATTATCTAGAAGAAATTGTGCTTGTCTTTTATGCTAGCGAAGTACTTTGAGTACGTGTCTTAAAACTTGCCCTCTGCCCGTCCCAAACTCACGAGATCCAACCACACCTTTCAATTTTTTTCAGGCAAATACGCTCAGGTCCTGCAAACAAACTCGAAGAGAATTGCCCCTACCCAAACCCAATCACGTATTTTGAAGACTGCTGGACCTTCCTTTGGACGTACCAAGCAGCGTGGCAACAATGCTGTGGAACCAACTCCTGCTGTTATACCTGAAGAGATCTCTTTACCGGTAGAAGCATTATTTAGCAGTCAAGCAACGCCAATTGTCAAAGCTACCAGGAAACCAAATGGTGCATTCAAAAGGTTAGTTTTGGGAAAAATGATTTATTCGCAGAGATCAAGCTACCGCCATAGCATTACCGTCAATCATCGATAGCATGATCCAACATATTTACCAAATCAGACGCCGCGCGGTGTGTAGGTTAACATAGTTGATGAACATCTCATTTGGAAAACCGAAATTGGCACATTCCTAGAACAATAACGATCATCGATCATCGATTTGATGTTAGTTTACTGTCAGTGTTAAGACCGTCATCCTCGATGTTTACATAAGAGCTGCGTGGATTTGTTTATATCATGCAAGAACCGTCTGGGTGGACATACCAGGAGACCTAGACAGCGCCAAATTTCGCAAATTTAGAAAGAAGCAAATAAACGGGTGTTTTGTAATCAAAGAAACAACTTCAGGAAGTATTTACAAACAAAACACGTGACATTGCAGTACATGAAACTGCTTATCAAATTGAAAGTATTTTTCATTAATTTCTTGTTTAAAAAAGGATAATGTGCGGAACTAATACGCGAAAAATCCATCTAGAGTGGATTAAGCCTCTACTTTAAGGAGCAACAGCAAGTTGAATCATGGTAATATCAAATGTGTGAAGCCCTTGCAACTAAATGTTGGTCATTGCTGATGTGTCTTGTTTAAAAAAGGATAATGTGCGGAACTAATACGCGAAAAATCCATCTAGAGTGGATTAAGCCTCTACTTTAAGGAGCAACAGCAAGTTGAAGAATCATGGTAATATCAAATGTGTGAAGCCCTTGCAACTAAATGTTGGTCATTGCTGATGTGTCATAATGTAAATCAAAACCTAAAAAATTTTCAGAGCCAAAAAGCTACATCCTAAAGGCGCTGAGAACTCATGGGATTCGTAAATTAATTGCAGCTGCTTAAGTTTAAGTCCTTTGAATCTTCAACAACGGGTGACACTGTGATACCTGTAATACCAAAAATGCGCTTCTGAATGTTTCTCACAATGACTATCTATTATATTCTCTATATGAAATTTTTGTTTTAGATTTAAGAACCGTCAAAAAGAATCTGAGTCAGAACAGCGTGTTGAAGCTGTAGAACAGACAACACATCAACCTAGCTACAAGAGCAAGAATCGTAGCCACCAGAGTGGAAGAAACTCCAAGTGAGTAGGAAAACATTGCTATTACCCAAAGGAAACCAATATCAATTTCTAAACTAAGATAGAACTCCAAACCAAACTAAAAAATAATGATATTAATTATTACAACAGTAGGTGACATCACCCAGTAACTTGAAAATGTGTCTCTAGATTTCTTTGGGTGATAATCAAGGTGGTATTCAATATAAGTGTGTTGTGCTAGAAGATACATTAAACTCTGTGTAGGCTCATCATATTGGCGACTATTGGCGTTTTCAATAGAAAACTGCTGTGACCTGTCGATTCACTTTTTCAAATTCATATGCTGACAGAATTTGCATAAGTTTTCATTCGACCATTCAACATGTTTAACGTTTTGGTAGCTTGAAACAATGAGATATATTGCACAAAGTTTGATGAACTTGTACACATACTGGCGAAGTTTGTTCATAATTTCTTTGTAAAACTGAGACCAGGTTGCTAATGAATGCTAATTAAAATAGGGGTATCTCAGTTTTGCAACCACATTGTTTTCTCCGCATGTTGAAACGCTGTATCATACACTACAATCTACAGGAATGTCGCGTCGTACTGGGTTGTTGAAATTTGGCTTTGCACGACATATTAAAAAGCTTACAATAAACACATTTATCGGAACAGTTTCAGCATGGTTACATACCGACCACTATTAATTGAGAAAACGTAGCCAAATTTCTATAACCATAGAGAATAATGAACAGCATGCCCCTTTTGAACAAAATATTTCTTTCTTCTTCTTCCTTCCTGTAGAAACATTAGGAAGTCTGATTTCTATCTTTTTCTGATTCTGTGTTTAACAACTTAACCAATAACATTTCTAATACTCAATTAATTATACTCCTACTTACTCTTCCCTCGGAAATTTCTTCTTCGAATATAACACGTCTGCATCATCAAGTCAAGTATATCTCACCTATATGACGAAATGTAATAACTAAAGCATTGTATAAACGTGTAAAGTGTTTAGATAATGTATAAATGTATGACAAAGACAAATCAGTAACGTCAATAAAATGGTGAACGCGCCTACTGAAGATACATAACACGTTCACCAATTTTTACATTACACTGAACGTGTTTAACACATTCTTCATTGCGTGGGGAAATGTTCCCATTCCAATCAAATTCTCTTATATTTTATCTTGAAAATCTATCACTAATTCCCGCCATCAGACTGTCTGCGCTTGATCCGCTTATTGGCGTCTTCTTTCGTAGGCATCTCAGATTTGTCCTTTGGCTTATGCCATAGTTTTAAATGTTTAGAGAAATGTGAGTTGTAAGGCTTATTTTTCAAGTACGAGTGAATTAATGAGCATTTGTGTATCTGGAGATTAATTTGTACGTAGAGTCTATGTGAAAATTGATGACGTATATCAATTCCTGGGATGTACGGAGTTAATCTTCTTGCCATCATTCAACTTTGGAAAGTATAAGTACTACGTCATAAATACTTATGGAAACTAGAAGTGATACTCAGTTTTTCAGAAATTCATGAATTTCCATAGACAGTAGTGACATTAACAACTGTTTCATATTGGCACGTAATTTTGTTTATCAACGTCTGGATGTTAAGTGCTACCTTTCGTTTCAATGCATTCCTTTGTGCCCCTAGTGCGGTGAGATAGATTTGGTGCTCGCCCTTATGTTCAACCACGATAACCCCTCGATGAGGCTTGCAGCATTTCTTCATAGTGGTCACGATAAGTGCTCATATTTATTTGTTGCTAAGTCGGTACTCGGTGATAGTACAATTAACTTATTTTTATTTATTTTATTCATTTTTCTCTTCTCTGAAAGATGTTTTTCACTTAACCTACAGCAGGTCGTACATATAACTTTGGCTTGTTAGAGCCAGCAACGGTTCGAACCTTGGGCTATATATACTTCATATCTTCGCAGAATGTTCCAGATCAACGAAAAGCTTTCAAATTTCTGTGGAATTTATAAGATATTCGGTACAGCGGGATTTTTTCAGCCGCAACCTCCTGCTTTTTAGCTTTTCCTCGCCAGTGAGTCCGAACCTTGAGTCAATATGGTACTACGAGGTTACCTGAATGAAATTCTAGAGCCGTTTCAACGATAAATCCAAAATAAGTTCCAGTCCAGATGCATGTCTATAGGTATAGGTTTTTGGAGTTGTCGAGTCTAAAGTTGAGCAATTGATTCCGATCATCTGCTTAACAGTGAGGGTTAGTAAGGACTGACTCTAGATTTTATCTAACAGTACTTCAAGGTTCACAAACATCATTATTCCCAATTTGGTCAAATAGCGGAACCTTAACAAAAATATCTCTGAATAATACTAACATAAAAAAGCGAAGTACATGCAAACATCAATATGGACAGATTCCTATTTTTATGATTCATCTGCAGACATTCTTCCATCATACAACACAAGGGTTGACAAAGATATTTCCACTGTTGCGTGAAAAAAATAGTGTCGAATGATACACGACAGGCATCAAGTTTCATAGTTTGCCATGGAAAAGGTAGCGCCAGCAAGTACGGTTTGCATGCCCAACTTATTATTAGAGGTATTAACTTTGAAGTATACGATCAATTTCATTCATTTTCGTTGATTTTTTTTATTTCTTGTCGGGTTTTCGCATACAGTAACCACTCTGCGTCAACCAAACATGCATAGACAACAATTGCAGATACAAAATAAGCTCATATATGAAGTTCAAAATTTTCCAGCAAAGGTAAAAAACGACTTACGCGGAATGTAACTCCAACTTGAAATACCACACTGCGTAGAAAGATCGCACAAAAGATCTATAGAATAATAGCAGAGAGCTATATAAAAGTCATTACTTAAGCAGTAAACCAAAAGTTAGGGGAAAATTCGTCGTAAATTGCTGCCGCTGGAAATTCCCTTTTTCATTGTTTGTTCTCCTTTAACAGCGACTAGTAATTATTTTTAATTGGTTTAGACGTCGCTAACGAGAGAGCGTTCGCACTTGAGGGGATCGTTCCAGGAATTGAGAGATGAAGGGATTTTGTTAGCTTCAGGTTCATATTTATGCAATATTTGGAAATTCCGTTTTTCAATAAATACACCTTTATATTACTTTGATAGGAGGCACCAACTCAATGCTCAGTCATATAACTTTCTTTCTTCCAATCAAATAAGGAAATATATTATGTATCTAAGCCATCGTGCGATATCTGTTAAGTTACTTGATAATTACTGAAATAAAACCATGATGTTCTTTGAAACATACATTCACCATAGATATTTATTCCCACGCTACTATGAGGGGTAACATCATCTGAAATTAATGTAGACCTAAGCTCCAAACTTTATGAGCTTTAAATCATCAGAGATATTAACAGACAAACGCAGCCACGCACTTTTTGGTGACGGAATATTATTACGTCCACAGGTTATTATCGGAGAACTAGTTTATGTTTCAGTCCATTAAACGCTAAGGTTAAAACAGATAAATCTGGAAGAGGGACAACTTATAAAATAAGTCGCGAATCAACCTCGGAATACGCTTACAATAAACTGAAGCAGAATGACAATATAAATACCTGAAATGCTGAGTTGATGTACATGCCACAAACGCACTGGTAGCAATCAAAATAAGTCAGAGTCGCAAACTTTCAAGACCATCTTTTTATAGCCTTATACCTTGTGTAATTTTCGCAACTCTAACCAAAAGTACTAAAGGGTAATAAATATTTGCTTTGATTATGGTTCCCGAAATCCTTTTTCTTGCAATTTACATTTTTCGCGCAAATTGCCAAGTCGAGAGATTCCTGCACTCCAGGGATAGCAATTAAAATATTGAAGGCATAAGCACTATGACTGTTTATACTTTGGTATTGCGACTAATTTAAGCATGCTCAAGTTTAATTAGATGTTGGCATAGTACGCGTATCCATGATTCATTCTGACATGATTCTCTAGATGAGGAAAGGCTTATTTTACATTTGGATTGGTTACAACCCCTATAGCGTCGGTATTTATGGAACATCTAGTATTAATTCAAAAGCTCAAAAACGGCTACAGCCGTAACTCAATCAGATATCAGAATTCCAAAAAAAAGTTTGTTCTGTGTTCATGTCGTCAAGCTTTCGAAAATGTTTTATTCAGTACGTACCACAAAAATACTAAATAAACCACAAAATTATAATATTAAAAAACATGAAAGCAATCACTTCACAGATAAGAATATGTAATCCTGATCATTGTTAAAACTGATTAATGAAGTATTTAGAACCTGTTTACGTAAAACTGCGTACTAATTCAGAGAAAAATTATTGAAATCAAAAATGGAGGTTGTTCTGGACGGCAGAAATAATGTTAAGACCAAATTACAATGTTGCCAAAGGACAAGATGAGCAGCACAGTGCTCAACATTCGGAGCTACGGAGGGTCAGATTGGCAAAAGCATACTGGTGGCCAAAAGTAGGGGCTAATGTGTTTTAAATTATCTCCAAAGCGAACACTGTTTCAAGAAAAATATGTTACAGAAAGCAAAAAATCCTTTTAAGAGTTATTTGTTTCAGTTGAAAACAGAGACAACCAGAGTGTAAAAAAGGGAAAGAACACCTAGCTAATAAGACTAGGAGACCAATAAAAAAAACGTATTTCTGTAAAAACAAAGTGAAACAGTTTGATTATGTGTTCTTTAAGTACTCTCCCAACCCTAGGACCTTGAATGGTTAAGTCATAGATACTGATGCTAAGCGCATATCCTACAGGAGCTATTTGCAAAGCTTACCAGCTTCTCTCAAATATCTGCAATCTAAAAAAATGTATATAAACCAAAGAATGCATTCACTAGTGATCTAGTTGCGATATAGTATACCTATACCAACTACCGTCCCCTTAAGAAAATGACGACAATGCACTGACGGAAATGAAGAGTCTTCCATTCAAAACAGTTGGATAACGTTTTGTTGTATAGAAGTTAATTGGAACAGTCGATAGATTAATTTGTCGGTATTGTCTGATCTTCCAATACTTTAGACCA